AGAGAGGAAACAATGTTAAGGTGCTGACAGTCTTGTGGACACTGGTTTCCCTTGGATACTGTTGTAAAGTAGACTTTTAAGTGGGATAGAAAGGAATATTGGGAAATATGATTACAGAAAGCTTGTAAGCCCATCTTCAACCTGTAATTGACTAAAATAGCCAAAAGGGGTACTAGAATTTGCCCATGAAATAGTCTTCTTGTCAAGACTTTTTAGAGTATTAAGCCTTAGGTAGAATCCTGAGTCCCATCCAGAACTTTCTGAGGTGGGACATTTCATCTTGAAAGGACATGCAGACCAACCCAGGGCAGATAGAGGAACAGAAGATACTTCTTGAAAGAAAGACCAATGGGGGGGGGGGGGGGGGGGGACAGACTTTGGCTGTTACAAGAACAAGCGAGCTCTTCACCTGGGAGCCATCAGGCAAGAAAAGTCAGGCCATCAGATAAACCTCCTTCCAAGATTGAAACTCAACATGAACAGGCTTGTAAGCTTGCTGGTGACCACCTTGGTCTACTTGAGAGTAGAAGTGGGGGAAAGGCAGCAATGAAGACATGAGCTTGTTTGATCATGTTCCATAGACACCCGTCGACCTTGAGATGAGAGAGAGAAGAGGAATGTCTGGATGATCCGAAGTTTAGGGAGACTTGAGAACTCCTGAGCCCATGAATACTGACCTACCCACTGGGGGCTAGAGCTCAGAGTGAAGCGGTCAGCTGATCTGAAGTTGGGGGAGGCATGCAAGAACGCCCAAAGTTGCAGAGAGTACCTATTTGACCTGGCTTGGATGGCTTGCTGGTCAGAATTTGACTAGAGGAAAATAAAGAAGTTTGATACAGGAAGCAAGTGTAAATTGCTACAGTTTGATGAACTTGACCCTTGCTTATGGATGTAGTTGCTCAACATTCCAACCGAGAGGGAAGGAGTCTTCACATCAGGGATCAAACCTATCCCCTCAATACACATGGTTGACAGGGATCAGCAACTTAGACACTGGCTATCAAAAATGGGGGGTTATAAAAGCATGAAGTGGCTGACTTACAAGTTTTCTAGTGTGTTTAGTTTCAGAGTGAGGGGGGTAGGGTAGAATCCCCACTGACTATTTTCCTCTTGTCTAGATGGGTCTGGTAAAAGGGGATGGGGAAGGGTGGGAATAGGATTCTTTTGATTCAATAGTAAGCAATTGTTAACATAGCTAATCGCAACAGTCACAACTGTAAAGGTAGAAGATGTGTAACAAAAAGGGGGGAGTAGTTAATCTTTCATTCCAGGACAGAGGAACCTAGAACCACCAAGAGGGAAGAGCATGAGCTGAGCGTGGGATCCTAACCAGAGAAGCAGTGACACCAGAGACCAAGGCAGAGGTGATGACACTGAGAGAGAGCAGCTGAGGACTCTAGACCCATGGAATGAGAAAGGCTGTGGGCTGGTGAGCAGGAGGCTGGCTTCCAAAATGCCCTTTGGTCACTTAAATGAATATAAATTTTCTATGTGTTTTGTGTACATCAAAAAAAAAAAAAAAAAAAGAAGAGGGAACAGACCAAATACTGTTGACTGAGGGTGCATGGAGGGGATTGTAATCACTGCAATCAAACAAAATACGATTGGTTAGATGTAAAACTGATGATCTGCCCTGTAAACTATCACTCAATTCACAATAAAAACTTTTTAAAAATTAAAAAAAAAAAAAGTTGCTGATGTTGCCTATGTGTAACCAAAAACTTTATGGGATTTGGTTCCTTGGTTAGGAGGCTTAGAGATAACTTTTCATGGGATATCCCAGCTAATTGGTCTAATATGTCTGGTGCTCCTCTTCTACCTTCTAATGAGTTGCCTAGTGCCTGGCATCTTCAAATCCTGCAAACAGCCCTAACGCACAACAATTAGTCTTTATTTGCCTGAAAAAACAAAAGAAGGAAAGTAAGGAATAGGAATAGGCAGACAATCAGAATGTATGGCCAACTGACTCCACGAGACCAGAATTTCCTATTACTGAGATTTTGATAAAAGATTCTATAGAAGAATCCTGATCAAAAGGGGGAAATGTAAAACAGAAATAAAAATTCTCATGGACTCCAAACTTGCTGCATGTCCATCAGCTTCATGGAAGACTTCCTTAAACTACTGCTCTGATACATCTTTTTTAAAATTTAAAACAAAAATATCCTCTAAAATCTTAAAATCAAACAAAATTCTAACTTAACTAATAAGAAATGCCTGCCTTGAGAATTATGTTCTTTTTAAGAACTATCTGTATGTGACCAAAATTACAACAGCAACTTCAAAGGCTTAACAGAAACCTTGGGGAGCAGTGAGTTTATTTTTAAGGCGGAGGAACAACTCAGAAAAGAAGGGTAAGAATGGTTGCACAACTCAAAAAATGTACGCAACCACAGGCATATAGAAATGGCTTAATAGGTATACATTTTGTTGTCTATATTCTTAAAAACAAAACAAAGAAAAATTTAAACCATACAGTAAGTTCTTAAAAATAAAATGTTAAGTATTTCCTGTGACTCTTCAAATTCATTTAAACTTCCCACAAGCATAAATGTAGACTGTTAGTTCAAATAAATAGCCAATTATTTAGGATGTTGTTGTTGTGAAGTGCTATTGTGTTGGTTCCAACTTATAATGACCCTGTATAAGGTTTCCAAGGATCAGCTGTTAAGTTTGAACCACCAACCTTGTGGTTAGTGGTCCAGTGCTTACCCTACAGTGCCACAATTGGTTATCAAGAACAGTTCTATGTTTATTTTGAACCAAAACTAAAGAAACGAAAGCAATGGTGAAGCTGTGAAAGTTTAACACGCTGGGAGGGTGGCTTGTAGTATTTGCCAGTTTCCATGGTCTAAATGTTTTCCCCGTGGCTGACTTTAGACAGCCACTGTGATGCTACACAATGCAGTCACAGCTGGTTCTTGTACGCTGGTGCAAGCTAGCTCCAGCCCATTATTGAGGGAAAGCAATTTGTCAGCAGTTAAGAACCATGATATTAGTCATGAATCAGCAGAAAGAAAGACGTTTTTGTATTTACAAGGATATGGCATGCCTGTGTTTCTAGAAGAAGGTAAGTACTACAATCTCATAGATATAACTTGACTGTGGGATAAACTCAGATTCCTAGTTAGCATATAGATCACCAAGCACCTATTCTGTGCTAGATGTGGTGTCTGGCATGCTATCAATAATCTAAGTTTTACATCTGTCACTGCCTTCTTTATGACTTAAAATATCATCATTGAACTGTTTGGGTTTGCTTCCTCATTGGAAAATGGTGAGAGCCTTCCAAAGATTATGGTTTTCACAGTGTGTTCTACGTGGTCCTATAGCTTAGTGGTGGCTGACGAAAAGCAATGGGGACACTATTCACGTGCTATCTCTGTGTCTCAGCTCCTGCTTCAGAGTAAGCCTGCTTTTATCTGTTTTGCATCTCATGATTCTACTTAAGAGTCCATTTGCAAAATGTTTTTTTTTTTAACCTAAGATCCTTTCATTCTGGGATTATAAATTTTTCTTGGCAGACTTAACGCTAAATAACAAAAATCTCTGACTATACCAGGGGGTTTCAAAAAGTTTATGGAAAAATGGAATGAAAAGATGATGATATTTTTCCATGAACTTTTTGAAGGCCCCCCATGCAATTTCATGAGTTAAGAGGTCTATGTTTCTTGACAAAGTAGTCTTTCCTTATCCATTACTGGAGTAGAAAGTGACATCAAAATTCAGAAGGGAGAACTAGGATACAAAGTTTTGCTTTCAACCACATGGGCCCTAATCTGCTTACTAAGGAACTCTCTGTGTTGCTTGTCGGGCATTAGCTCTCGATTCTTTATGATTAAGATCTTCTATATGTTCTGGACTGCAAAGTTGGTTTGAATCGCAGTTTAAGCTCACAAGTTGTTCCTCGGAAACCCTATGTAGGTTCACTATGGGTAGGAATTGACTCAATGGCACTTAACAACAACACTGCATATAAGAAGCCCTGGGGGCTCAGTGTTTAAGTTAACTAAATGTCAGTCATTTGAATCACCAGCCACCCTGCAGGAGAGACTTAGCAGTCTGTTTTCATAAAACTACAGCCTTGGGAATCTTATGGAACATAAGTTTTACTTGTCCTATATGGTCTCTATGAGTCAGAAATGATTCAGTGGCAATATATTTGGTCTTTTTAGTTATTGCAACTTAAACGAGAGAAGCTAACATGAAGACGAGAGGTTCCCAACTTCTCACCTCAGCTCCATCAGCAACAGGATATTTTTAAAAGAGTTAAACAAATTTCTTTCATTTCCAACCATGAATAAACAGATCAACAAAGAACTGTTTTAATTAGCTAGAGAAGGTGCCAACATAGCTATGGTGGTGGTTGTGGTATGCTGTGGAGTTGGTTCTAACTCACAGTGACACTGTATAGGGTTTCCAAGGCTATAAAAATCTTTTCGGGAGCAGAAAGCCTCATCTTCTCCCAAACAGCAGTTGGTAGGTTTGAACTGCTGACCTTGTGGTCCAAAGATCAACTTGTATCTCACTACGCTACCAGAGCTCCTTAATATAGCTATGGTGGTGGTGGTGGTACTGGTTGCATACCATAGAGTCAGTTCTGGTTCATAGCAACTCTGTATAGGGTTTTCCAAGGCAATAAATGTTTACAGGAGCAGAGAGCCTCAACTTTCTCCTGCAAAGATAGCTATGCTGTATCGAGTCGGTTGTGATAGCTATGTTGTGTCGAGTGTTGTCGAGTCAGTTCCAAGTCATAGCAATCCTGTTTAGGTTTCCAAGGCTTTGAATCTTCTCCCTGCAGCTCTGATGTCTTTTCACAATTATATAGGACAGCTTATTAAACATAAAAAAATGAACATAAATGCAAATAACATTGCTTTGGGTTAAGTATGTTAAATGAGCATTCTAGATCTTTCCTTTCTATATTTGCTTCTGAAACTTTTGATGAGATCATGAGGAAGACAATGAAATTAGAGGGGCTGGGAAAACTCTCAACTTACTTGGAGTGGCTGTAGATCCAAAGCCCCCGCTGGCCGAGCTGAATGGGTTTTTGTTGGCTGCATCCTGGCTGGGTTTCCCTCCAAGGCCACTGAATAAACCTCCCCCTCTTCCAGTGTTTCCAGACCCAAACACTCCACCACTGGAAGAGGATGACTGCTGAAAAACAAAAGAAGCAGGAAGCAAGATAGGATGAGAGGTCACTGTAAAATGACAGGCCATATCCGTGGGCAGGAGGTGCTCACATCTGGTACAAATGGAAAACGCAAAAGAACTCTGATTAGCTCTAGTATAGAAGCTCTAATAACCACAAATGAAACTGGTTTCTGGACAGAGACTTCCTACAAATGAGAAGTTCTCATGCCATGTTCACAGTCTTCTAAAAACATGATTTATGGTAGCTGGAAACTTCAAATTTTTATCTGTTCTGCTGCCTTCAATCTCTACATATGATGCTAGAGGGGCAGGAAAACTAACCCTCAAGAATTTCCCAAAATGAAAAGTTTGAAAACATTTATAGACTATTATGATGAACACCATTTCTGATTTCTGTAGCGTTACACTGAACTAACCAGCAACTGATGACAAGTGATTTAAATGGTCTTTTCTTTCAATTTGTGTACTTTTATTTCATAATGACTTTCTCAGGGCTGCAGAAATCAGCTTCAATTAGATGCATTGTTGAAATGATGACCATAGCGGAATTCAGTCTAAATTTGCAGATCTTACACTCAGAGGATGCTAGTTTATGGAAACATCCTGACTCAAGGCTGTATCATGTACCAGACACAGCAATCTAGATTTGAAGTGCTGTTAATTTTAACTAGGAGTAATGTCACCTTGGCTGATAATGAAGAATAAGATGGGTTTTTAGAAATGGGTCACATTAGTAGACCATAATTAACTATAAAATGAATGTGAGTTGATAGCTACTACAATGTGGCACTGTGGGATAAAGCACTGGACCACAAGGTCAGTTTGAACCACCAGGTTGGTGGTTCACACTCACCAGCCGCTCCTTGGGAACCTATACATGGCCGCTGTGAGTTGGAACTGACTCAACGGCATTTAACAACAACACTCTCAATAATGGGTTAGGGAGAATCCCATTTTGTTTAATTGTGATAAACAGCTGTAGTTTTAAATGGACATCTTATAACCCAACTGCCACACTTACCAAAGCATATACAACTTGGTTTTGTCTATATCCCTACTTACTTTCCCTTATCCTGTATCAGTATGAAGAAAAAGTTTCAGATATAATTTCATTCATAGATTTTCCAATGCAAATTTCTAAAGCATAAACCCAACCATTCTCATGTTTTAAAAAATGAATAATTCCTTACCATTAATAGAAAGTTCAAATTTCCAATTATTTAATAAATGTTCATTTTAAGCTTGTTTCTTTGAATTAGAATCCAAATAAGGTGCATACTAACAATAATTGACACATACAAGGGTCAGATCAAAAGTATTACTTTAAAAATCAAACCTTTATTCCTGCCACATTATCCTGCTTTATTTTCTTTGTACTATGCAACACTATCTGAAAATACATTGCTTAATTAATGACCGACTCCATTAAATTTAAGCTCTATTAACATAACCACTTTGTCTTGCCATTGAATTCTTGCATGAATGATTAAAATAAGTTGGGGAAACCTGTGTTTCAATCTAAACTCTACAATTTACTAGCTGTGTGTGGCCACCGTAACAATATTAGTCTTCTGATCTATGAACTTGGGTGTTTCTCCACTTACTTAGATCTTTAATTTTTTTCAATGTTTTATAGTACTCAGAACATGAGTTGTATACTTCTGTTAAATTTATTCCTAAATATGTTATTTTCTTTTTTAAAAAAACTCCACTGTAAACTGAGTGAAGGTTTACAGAGCAGATCATGTTTTACATTTAACAAATCATATATACTTTGCTTCATTACAAAGCAAATCCTCTCCATGTACCATTAGTTAACAGCATTTACCTCAATTTCCTTTAATGCCTGCACTCCTCCGTGTCTCTACTTTCATCTTTCCTTTTTCATCCTCCTCTTGTTGTCTATTGCCTACCGCATCACCTCTGCTGACATGGGTCTAGCCTCTAATCTGTGAATAATTCCATCGCACCCACCCACCTAATCCCATAGATAACCATCATAGAATGTTTCATTTAGCAAGAAAATCTTAACTTTTACAATAGTGTATTTATTTGTCCTTTTGTGATTGACAAATTTCACCCAGTAGATGTCCTACAGGTCCATCCACTTTGTGAAGTGCTTTACATATTCACCATTATTCTTCAACATTGCATAGTTTTCCATTGTGCATTTGTACCAAAGTTTGTTTAACCATTGTTCTGGTGATGGGCATTGGGCTGTCTTCCATCTTTCTGCTACTGTGAATAGTGCTGCAGTGAACAAGGGTGTGCACATATCCAGTTGTGTCATGGTTTTTATTTCTTGAGAATATATACCAAGTAGAGGGATTACTGGGTCATACGTTATTTGTATTTCCAACTTTTAGAAAGTGCCATATGGTTTTCCAAAGTGTTGCACCTTTTACAATCCCACCAGTAGTATAGAAGGGTCCCAGTCATTCCACACACTTGTGAGCATTTGTTGTTGTCTTTTTTTGAACTCTCATGTTTTCAATGGCTAATGATCGTGAGCATTTATATTGACTGTTTGAATGTCTTCTTTGATGAAGTATCTGTTCATGTCCTCTAATCATTTTTTCTTAAATGTTTTATTGTGAATTATGTGATCGTTTGCATGGGAGAACATTAGTTTTACATTCATTCTATCGTATATCATCTCATTGCCATGGTTACAATCCCCTCCATGCAATCCTTC